CGGAGCACACCAAACTTAACCACTACACCACCGGGCCAGCCCCTTGAGGGGCACTTTTAACAGCTTTGTGGAGGGTATAACTGACATGCTATACACTGGATATATTTAAAGTGGACAATGTGATAAGTTGTTACATCAAATGAATACACCCATATAACCATCACCACAACCAAGATAATGAACATATCCATCACCCCCAAAAGTTTCCTCTTGCCCCCTCGTAATCCATCCCCCCAGCAGTTTCCTCTTGCCCCCTCATAATCCTTCCCCCCAGCCTCTCCCTGCCACCTCACATCATTAGGCAATCACTGATCTGCTTTTGGTCACTAAAGCAGTCTGCATTTTTAGATTAGTCTGCATTTTTAAGAATTTTATATAAATGGAATATTTAAAAGAATACATACTCTTTTTTTCCTAGCTTCTTTCACTCAGTACAATTGAGATTTGTGAAGTTGTTGCATGTTGCATGAATACCATAGTGTTCAATTGTATGGATATACTACAATTTAATGTTTATCCATTCACCCAGTGATAGACATTGAGTTGTTTCTGGTTTTTGGCTATTGCAAACAAAGCTGCTATGAATATTTATGTACAAGACTTTGTATGGACACATGTTTTCATTTCTCTTGGGTAAATACCTAGCAGAGGAATCGCTGGGTCATATAATAGGTTTTAAGAAACTACCAAACTGTTTTCCAAAGTGGTTGTGCTATTTTACATTGCCATTGGCAGTGTATAAGAGCTCTAGTTGTTCCACATCTTTTCCAACACTTGGTATAGTCAATCTTTCTAATTTCAGACATTCTGATAGTTGTGTAGTAGCATCTCATTGTGTTTTTAATTTGCATTTTCCTAATGGCTAATAACATTGGTGACCTTTCATGTGCTTATTTTTCATCTATACATCTTCTTTGGTGAAATATCTGTTCCAATCTTTTATAACCTAATCTTGGAAGTGACACCCCATCACTTCTGCCATTGGTATTACTTTTACCATATTCTATTTGTTAGAAGTGAGTCAGTAAGTCCAGCCCATATTCAGTTGGAGGGGGACTTCTCACTAGGGGGACCATTGGAGGCCATCCTAGAGGCTGCCTACCACAGATGGCTTCCCATTTCTCTTGGAATAAAATTCAAACTCCATATCTTGGTCTACAAAGCCCTGCAAGATCTAGCCCCAGCCTTTTTAACTGTTGTTATTTGAGGAGCTCTTTCTCCTTTTAGAGCCTGAGTATTTGTTCTTCCCTCTACTTGGGATACTTTTCCATCAGATTTTCCTATGGCTAATTGCTTCTTGACATTCAGGTCTCAGCTTATAAGTTACATCCTCAGAAAAATCAACCTCAATCACCCAATCAATCAAGGTGGCCTCCCAATTACTCCTTATCACATCACCTGTATTAATTCTCCATGTAACACTTTAGTACTATCTGATGGAATGAAAGTTTCAATGTGGCAGGAAACGTGTCTCATTCGTCACTATATCTCCAAAGCCTAGAACAGTGTCTTACACACGATAGGTCCTCAATAAATATTTATTAAATGAACCAATGAATGAGATCTCCAAGGAGGCAAAATGGATGGGATCCAGAGCATAGACGGAGGGATTAACCTTGAATAATGTCCCCATTACTATTGCTGTTTAACAAACCACTCCAAACTTAAAAGTATGAAATAATGACCATTTTATTATGGCCCCAAATTCTGTAGATCAGGAATTCAGAAAGAGCCTAGTGAGGATGTCTCTGCTCCAGAGTTTCTGGGGCTCCAACCTGGAAGTCTGGAAGGCTGGTAGTGACTTGACAGTTGGGGGCTGGAATCATCCAAAGGTTTGTTCATTCACACGTCTGGTGGCTGATGCTGCCGTTAGGCTGAGACCTCAGCTTGGACTGACAGCCAAAACACCTAAGCAAACTCAGGTTTCTGCACGGCTTGCTGGTTGGGTTCCAAGAGTAAGCACCTCAGGAAAATTAGGCAGAAGCTGCATCATCTTTTACCATGCAGACTGGAAAAATCACTTTTGCTCTAGTCATAAGCATGCCCAGATTAAGGATAGGGAACATCAACTCCATTTCTTGAGAGGAGGAGTGTTAAATTCACATACTAAGAACATGTGGGATGGGAAATATTTTTGCTGCCATTTTGGTGTACTCCAGGTAAATTGTGACCAGTTTTGTGGCCGTTCACGCCCCCAAACTGACAATCATTGGGAGAAAACAGAGAAAAGCAGCCTGCAGACTCTGAAGATTAATGTTACAATTTTACAATTGATTGGCAATTTTTATATTCAACTCTGTAAGGACAAATGGAAATCTTTCCCAGGTTTTTCTGTTTGATTTTGTCGTCTTTAAATCACATTCAAACACTGTCCTTGGGCAGGTTGGTTGAAATGGGATGGCTAAGTCATCCAGGCATCACTTCATATGCTGATGAAATTTTCCTTTCCTTTAATTCTTCGTTGTGAATTTTTCTTTCTTTCTAACAGCCAAGTTCATTAGTTTACTCTGAGGGCAATTAACACTCAGGTGATTAATCCAAGTATCATAGGAAAACATGATTTAGAGTTTTTTAATGAGTATTGAAAAACAAAACCCAAAAACACTTATCTAGATTCAATTTTGTAACAGAAGGGCTCTTTGACATACAATTGGAATTCTTCAGCGGAGATTAGCTGCCTGTGGCTTGTGGGTCCATTTCTTTTCAAGTGTTTTGCCCAGTTTGGCTGGAAACAGGTAAACATTTCTCTGCTTGTGAAATCTCTCCATTTTATATCCTTTTTCCCCAGAAATTGCTGTTAAAGTTTGCATTCTAAATACTCATCTTTGTTTGTTTGACAGATTATAAAAGAATATGTTGCCTATTTTCATTTTGAAGCACAACTAGCCTGCTTGTTGAAAAGAGAGCTAGACAGTTTGTGCATAGCTGTGGTTAGGAACTCAGATTTGTATTCTGACATCTTGAGTCCTAAGCTATGTTGTGTAAAAGATTCTATCCCATACCACCGAAAATATCTTCGCAGTAATTATGGTTAATACTTACAGAAAAAGCTTAAGGTTTGTATATACAAAAAGGACTTTCATTAAGAGAAAGAGAAATATGGAGTAAAAAAATTATGAGAGGGAGATCCTGTCAATTAGTACCCGTTAAGTGCATCAGGGGAGACAGAAAAGTACAAACCCAGCTCTCTGACAGAATTCCCTGACTTTAAAATTTTGTTAGAAAGGAAAAAGAAATCACCATGCATAACACAATGAGAGAAGCATTATATGCTTCATATTGTCAGGTTCATAGTGAGGTTCTGACTGTAAGCACTACAGTTATGCTCAAAAGAAAGAGCAATTTGGGTTGGAAAAATCTAAGAAGGCTCAGGGTGGAGGTGAGACTTGAGCCAAGATTTATAATGGGCTGGGGGGAAAGGGACAGCCTTCCACAAGAGGACAACAGCCAGGGGCAAAATTCTGAGGCTTGAGAGAAAGGCATCCTCGCCTTGAGGACACCTGTGGCCCAGGATCTTAGAAGATGGGGATGACTACTGTGGGGGAATAAAGGCCTCCAGCTGCGGCCAGAGACAGGACGAGGGAGCCTTTGGGGGAACTTGCCAGCGGGACAACTACCTGACTCAAAGGCCTTACTCAAGTATTTCTTCTTTAGCCAGGGCTGGAGCAGGTATTGAAGTCTTTGAAAGCTGGGCTTATGTTGAGAATTTTGATACATTAATCTGATTAGAATGGACTAGCATTGGGAGGATATAGAAATGACTTCAACTGTGCTCCCTGGAGTAGCTTCTGCTTTTATCTAGAGCTTCTGTCTGATTGGGAGGGAATTGCTTGTGTTTATTATAGCACTTGACATAGGATTAGAAAATTTAAATTTTCCATATCAAAGAATGGGGAGTTGGAGTTTATGGGGGCGTTCAAACTTCCCAATTGATATCTGTTGCAACTCGTGCATGCTTCCTACTCAATCTTTTGGGACATGGCTCTGGTAGCTGAACTGTAAAGAGAAGGTAAGAGCTGGCTGTGATGCTTATGACACTTCCTTCCTCTTCTCAACAGCTGGAAAGAAACTTTTCAACAATATTATACATTTGGAAATAGGCATAAAATGAAGAAGAAGGAAATTTCCAAAGTGGTGTGGTGGAACGAGCAGCTGGACATTTGAGTTTGAAATCTGATGTGTCACTGACTCGTTTGGGCTCCTGGGAATACTTACTTCAGTTTTCGTGCCTCTGTTTCTCTATAGGCAAAATAGGGAATTGTGAAGGAGATTCTCAGCTGGCTTGGACAGCTATTTCCACCCCCATCACCTCTCATGGGCCTTGGGAAACGTGTGTGTAGGGGTCAGGAGAGCCGTCTGGGGTGGTTACAGTGACTGTGGCAGTAGCAACTAGTGGGCAGAAGCCAGACACCAACTGTCTTTCAATGCCTGAGGCACTGCCACAGATGAAGAAAAGTCCCGCTTCAAATGCCATAGAGCCCCATTAAGAAACGCCAATGGTCCCAAGGATCCTTCCAACGTTAACATTTGAGGACTTCACTAAGTCTTGGGCTAGGAGGTGCCATAGCATAGGCCAGGGCCCCTCAAACCCTGTCCTGCACTCCGCCCCAACCTCACCAACAGCTAGCTAACTCATCACTCAGATTTCACTTATATTTCACTTCTCAGAGATACCATCCCTGGTGCCCACCCCAATCTTACTATTACACTGTTTTCTTCTTACTTGACTAACGTCTGCCTCCTCCACCACTCGGTAGCCTGTCTAGCGGCAAGGGCCGTGGCTACCTGCCGAGGTCACGGTGGCACTCAGTAAATACTTTTTGAATACACACACGGAGACTGGACGCACATGGAAACAACCTGCACCGCAAAAGCGCGCCCATCCGGGGCGTGACGTCACTCCGTCACTTCCGCCCCTTCCCGCCCCTCCGGGTGCCCCCTTCTCCTAGTCTGTGTCTGTTTCCGGCGTTTCAATAAAGCTCGATTCGGCTCGAAGACGACTTGTTCTTCCGGGAAAATGGCGGCTCCCGCTCGTGCCCCGGAGTCCCCGCCGGCCGCGGATCCGGCGCTAGCAGCTGGGGCTGCCGAGGAAGCCGAGTGCCCGCCGCCTCGCCAGGCGCAGCCCCCGCAGAATGTCCTCGCTGCCCCGCGGCTTCGAGCCCCAAGCTCCCGAGGACTTGGGGCAGCGGAGTTTGGCGGAGCTGCGGGAGATGTTGAAGCGCCAGGAGAGACTTTTGCGCAACGAGTAAGCTTGGCTCCCGCCGAGTCACTGCCAGGCTCCTTCGGTTCGGGCTCCCCGGGACGCGTCCCTCCCTTCCCTCCCCCCGTCCCTTCTCTGGAAGGTGACCTTGCCTCAGTCAGATTCGTCCCATCCGGCTGGCGAGTGGCCGCCCTACAGCCGCAGAGCCGACCGCGTCCCGGCCGGCGCGTCCCGCCCTTGGGGGTGGCTCCTGTGCTGAACGGCGGCTTGGCCTTTCTGCTCTCCGCTAGCTCCGCGTTGGTTTTCTTTACTCAGCTGCCGTGTCTGTTCCTCGAAGGAAGGCTCTGTGTACTACGTCCTTTTCTCCCCCTCCCCCATCGTGTCCCAAACATCTTCTCAGTTGCATCGTTCGATCCTATTTGTACAGGAACCGTAGGAAATGGAAAGAGTGGGATATAAAGAGTGGTTTATTAGGCAGAGAAAGTTTGACTCTCATTCAGCTGGGAGACTTAACGGATTTTAGCAGGGGAACTATGTAATGGAAGTAATTTTTTTTTAGGAAGCTAAATTTAGCAGCTTGGTGCAGGATGGTTGGAAGGAATAAGAGGCAGAAGACAGTAGGAGGATATCTTCAGAAAGGTTCCCAACGAGGGGGTTGTAAGAAGGCGAACTAGAAAGGTAGTTGAGGGATTGGAAAAACTACATTAGGCGTGGAATAATTTGAATATGTAGTTGACAGAGAGGGTTGAAGTTTCCAGCCTGTATGGAAAACCATTAATAAAAACAAGAAAAACGGGGAGAGAACTAGTTCCCAGGTTGATTTTACTTAAGGCATGCTGAGTTAACTAGTTACCTGGTTAAAAACTGCAGAAGTGGTCATGAGGCTCAAGAGAAAGAGGAGAGGGTTGGGAAAATACAGGAATCTCAACCGGAGAGAGATGTTACTAGTTGAAATTGTGAGAACGAATATAGTGCCAGAGAAAGAATAGAGGGCCTGAGATGTAACTTCCCTCCCCATTTATTGTTTAGCTAAAGACAAGAGAATCTGAAAAGTAACTTCTGTCATTCAGCAAAAGGGACAAACAATCCCTTGGGTTCTTCCTAGTAGAGACAAGTTTTTTGACTTTGTGAGAATGAGTTTTTAATCTTTAGCAGTGAATTAACTTTTTGGTCCCAGGACCCCTTTATGCACTTAAGAATTGTTGAGCATCCCAAAGAGCTGTTGTTTTATGTGTTATATATACTGATATTTATCAATGTGTTAGAAATTACAAGTGAGAAACCTTTAAAACACAAGAATACAAAAGCACACACATTCCATTAGCCATCAGAGCAGTGATATCCTCACATATCATGTGGCTTCTGGGAAGCTCCACTGTACCCATGTGAGAAAATGAGAGGGAAATGGCAAATGGTGTCTTAGTACTATTACGAAAATAATTTTGACCCTGGAGACTCATCCACCTCCCCTCGCTAGGAAGGTCTTGGAGATCACACTTTAAAAACTGCTTATTTTTGTAATGTTTTATATGGTTCTTATATGCTTAAAATACTTTTGCTGAAATTTTAATTAGATGAGACAAGTGAGGCATATTCCCCATTCTTCCTGCATGTCCTTGTTTTTTTGAGGTATTTGGATAGTGACTGTCTTATTTCATTCCTGTTTTGGGGCAGTTGGAAATCAGATTTTTGACTTAAAGGTCAATTTTGGTCCTTTTGATGATAATGCTTTGTCTTTATATCTCACGTTTAAAACCGTGGCTCTAATGTATACATGTTCTTTTCCATTTGACAGAAAATTCATTTGCAAATTGCCCGACAAAGGTAAAAAGATAATAGACTCTGTTGCCAAACTGAAAGCTGCCCTTGCAGAACGTGAAGAAGTTAGAGGGAAGAGTGAACTGTTTCATCCTGTTAGTTTAGACCATAAGCTAAGGCAAAAAGCAGTCGCAGGTGTGGACGTGGACACGGATAAGGCCCAGAACTCTGACCAGATCCTTGATACTTCATCACTAGTTCCTGGCTGTTCCTCTGTAGATAACATCAAGTCATCTAGAACAACCTCACAACAACAGGGACTTGTATATCCTACTCACAGAGGTGATGCAGAGGCTCCAGAGGTTGAGTACGCAGTGAACAACTGCCCAGCTTCCAGCAGCAGAGCCAGCGCGCCTTCCTCATCCAAAGCTAGCGAGCGTCTCCCTCAGCATCGTGTTTCAAGTCAAGCAGAAGATCATTCTAGCAGCTCTGACAGCCTGTTTATTGATAGGTTACAAAGGATCACAATTGCAGACCCAGGTGAACACCACTCTGAAGAAAACACAGGTACTGTAACTTGACAGGCCTTCATAGTGGAACTCAGAAGAAGCCTCATCCATGGAGGCGCTAGGAATTCGACCCAAAAACCCAGTGCCCCCACCACATAAATTTAAAACCAATGTGTAAGTACCATCGGAAACAGGCTGTCATGGCAACATAGTATTTGTTAAACTCAAAAATTGGAAGAATGCTTTCAGTTCAGTGGACTTGTGCGTGAGAACTACTTGTGGTTAGGAATGAACATATTGTAAACAGACCAGAGGATTTATGTTGAAAAATACTTTAGCTTTTTTAGCCAAATAGTTGAAAAGATTTTAAATAGCAGATGGAGTATTAAATTTCGGGATGCTTAGGCAATATTTCATAATAAACACAGAGTTAGAGAATTTATTATGCTTTTTTCCCCGGAACCATTTTCTGGTATACAGCTCCCCCCTTTGATTAGACTGTAGGCTAAGGGAAAAGCAATCACAGGAGCTGATGGCCTTTCTCAGCAAAAGATATTTGCGTACTCGCTTTCTGTAAGCAGCAGGTGCTGTGGTGACACAGAAGTAAAGATTCTGCTCCTTAATGAGTTTGGGATCTGGATGAGGACCCAAGGCATACACACTTAGAAGGACCTTAAATTATATAATAACAACTTCAGGGGGAAGGGAACTGAGAAGGGATTAAAAAAACTGAAAACAGATTTGGTCAGGATCTAACCAGCACTGCTTCTAAGTTCCTTGTCATAGTTTTGTTTCTGAGATCTCCATAAAAAGAAAAGCTCTGTGAAGAGAAAAGAATGTTGTTTACTTGTATGCAAATGTAGCATTTAAGTCCAGGAGTAGCAACTGGTACCTGCCTAGATTTATGAGGCTGTAACATCAGGTACAAAGTCTGAACTGCTACCGCCTATCTTTGAAAAACTGAAAACCTGTAGTTAACAATACCTAAAATCATTTTTTTATTATTATACAGAGATTTTAAAGTTTAATCCTACCTAATCCATCATTTGTTTTTAACCTCAAAACATTTTATTTCTTCTGTATAGAAAACCAGGATTATATTACCTTAATTTTTAGTTAGGAATAAAAAGTAATCTTTGATCAATTAATCTTTGATCAATTAATCACTTATCTTGTGCACGGTGAGGTATGTTTCCTCACTTCTAGGGAGACAGAAAACGAGAAGCATCATCTAGTTAATACGTACAACAGAATACACTGCTCCTGGGTCTGTATTATGGTCGTTTAGCTGGAAGTGGGAGCGGGGTAAGGAAATAGCAATGAGGGCTATCAAGATTAAGGAAGTTTATGAGAGAGACAGACAGACAGACAGACACAGAGACAGACTTGTATGCAGTTAGCAGGAAAGGCTGAGTGCTTCCAGAATGAAATGCATAAATGCAAATCTGAACCTCTTACGTAGACTAGAACTTTTCATTGTGGTCTGGACCCTTCCTCCTTCCTAGCCTTGTCTCACTGCCTTTTCCTACTCTCCTGCCTCCTGCCCTTCCTCTGTGCTGCAGCCTGTTGCCCCTTGCTCCCTGCCGAGATGCCCTTCTCCCCTCATTTACGTGGTGAGCACTCATTGTTCCAATACTTCTCAAATTTCACTCTTTTTTTTTTTGCGGAGGAAGATTCATCATGAGCTAACATCCGTGCCAGTCTTCCTCTGTTTTTCAGTGTGTGGGCCGCCAGCACAGCATGGCCGCTAACAGAGCTGTGTAGGTCCACGCCTGGGAACCGGACCAGGGTCATCAAAGCAGAGCGTGCTGAACTTAACCACTAGGCTACCGGGGCTGGCCCAAATTTCACTCTTTTGAAGCTTTTCTGATACCCTCCCTGTCCCCCATTGGAACTGGCCGTTTCCTTCTTTATGTTCCAGTGTACCGTGTACGGATGTGTATCGTGATACCTGTGATATTCTATTGCAGTGAAACTATTTACAAGTTTGTTTCCCTCTACTGGACAGTAAGCCCCTTTGCAAATGTTTTTTGAATGAAAAAATGAAAAGATAGCTTCAGTTCAAGTATAATGTTTGAGGAGAGAAGGAAAAGGCAAAAAGCCTATCTATCTATACCTATTTTCTGTTAGAGCAATGAATTGTCAAATTACTCTCTGAAAAGGTGGCAATTTAAATACTCCTGTTTTTGAAGTAAATGTGTTAAAAAAAGGGAAAGATTGTAAATATTGGTAAACTGCTTACTATTATCTTTGTAGAAGAATTAACTGCTAAGGTTAAAGGCCACTTGAGTGTGTGTGTGAATGTTATAAATGTGTGTCTGTAGAAAGAAAATAGTCTAATGGTATAACATACATTTTCCCTCCTTCAGATTACCTTCACAACAAAAGGGTTCACCTAGTCATTGCCAGAGAGGAGGGTCTCCTGTTTCCTCAGAAGAAAGGCGGCGCAGGGATAAGCAGCATCTGGATGACATCACAGCAGCTCGGCTTCTCCCACTTCATCATCTGCCTACGCAGCTGCTCTCCATAGAAGAATCTTTGGCACTGCAGAAACAGCAGCAACAGAGTTATGAGGTATTTAGAGTATTAATTGTTTCTTGTCTGTATGTCGGATGTTGCTTACTTAAGTCAGAATTTACTCCAGGTAGTTTAAGGAAGATGGTATTTAATTGAAGGGAGTAGTACTGGGGAAATGGTCAGCTAATGCCATTAGCTCTCAGATGTGTGCCTCTAGCTTTCAGAGGGTCTCGAAGTTTCTAGAACTGCAGGAAACAGCTGGAGATGATCATAGCTACCTGCAGCATCAAAGTAGTATTTACCAGGAAATGTGGGGAGACAGCTGCAGAGTCTCACATCTCTTACAGCCTGTACTGTTAGGGTAGCTGTAGTATCGCTTCTCTGTCTTCCACCTTGTAAAACCCGTGCGAGAGCTTCTCGGTGGTGGAACCTAACCGAGAACCCTGCCAAGAGGATTAGGAAAATGTGGTTTCTAGGCTTCGATCTCCTGGAATACAGAGGAGAGCATAAAAGGGGTGGGGGAATAGTGTTGTGTCTGGACAGTTGGACGCTAAGCTTAAAAGCATAATCTGCAGGCCCTTGTGAAGATAGAAGAATCTCCTACTTTTAGTGACTTGATCCATTTTGTGTAGCACTTTCTTCAAAGATCTGTGTGTTACGCATAGAACTTTAAACATGAGTATTGACAATTTGTGTACAGAATAACAAGACGGGAGAAAACAAGTGTGAGGACCATAGCGAGAAAAGAAAGGATCTGATATGCTTAGATAGTAATAATTTGAGCCTCCAGGAAAACAGCAGCCTAACTACCTGGTATTGCTTAGCTAGATTATAATCAGGTACTATACACCAGTTACTCTAGAACTAGGCTGTTATTCTGCCTTGGCTTTTCCTAAAAGCTCAGTTGGCTTGGATTGGCTTTTTTTCTTTTTTTTTTTGGTGTGAGGAAGATTTGCCCTGAGCTAACATCCGTTGGCAATCTTCTTTTTTAGCTTGAGGAAGATTAGCCCTGAGCTAACATCTGTGCCAGTCTTCCTCTATTTTGTATGTGGGATGCCTCCACAGCATGGCTGATGAGTGGAGTAGGTCTGCGCCTGGGATCCGAACCTGCAAACCCTGGGCCGACCAAGTGGAGCGCATGGAACTTTAACCACTTGGCCACGGGGCTGGCACCTGGATTGGCATTTTTAAGGCATTGCTTTTTAAAATCCATTTGTCTTCCTCTCAGGGCACGAAAATTATTGCCTAGTTATGACTGCCACATTGAGGAATTGTTTTTTAAATTGTCTCTGTGATCTTAAATGACTCTCCTAAGGTATTATTAGGTTGAATTAAACCCTTGAGTTTAAAATTAGTTTCCTTGGCAGAGTAATAGTAGTAGCTCCCACTTCAGTCCTGCCTACTCATAGTATTCATGGCCTGAGGGAAAGGACGTGAAGAAGTTCAAGTGATACGGGAGAAAGCATGAGCAAGGTTAGGAGTGAGCACTGCCACCAGTCGGTGGTAATATCCTCAGGTGTATGTAAGCCCAATGCCAGGGTCTAAAATTTACTTGGACTTTTCATTGCATAGTAATTTTCATGGGACTTAATTTGGAGAGGGATAGTCACCTTTTTATTATTAATTTCCTGATTTTCATTGTGACATTGAAATGTAACTCTCAAGCGTAGGAGCCATGTTTTAATCTAGGAAAGAAGATTCTTTCAGTTGGAGAATCAGCACAGCATTAGTGATTTTTGACATTCAGTAGCCCAGATTGTTCTGTGAATTCGTGTATACACATGCGTCTACCCACAGAGTTAAAAATGTGTCCGTGTTTATAACTGTTGTGATGCTAAGCTGACTACTCAATTTCTCATGTAGAGGTGGGATATTTCAATGCACTGTTGTTTATTAATGGAAGTCTGTAATTACAACTGTGGCAGGCTAGTAGCTCTCGCGAGTGTTGCCCTCTTGTATCTGTAGTAGGCACAGTGTCAGGTTCGTCTTATTGCTGTAGAGAGCACTAAGTGGAATGTTAATACCTCTTTATTTCTGATTTTGTTTAAATGACTTCCCATATAAAAATTGTAGGGAAAAGATGTGAATGTGTAACTTTGTGCTTTGCTTTTTGTTTTAAAGGAGATGCAAGCCAAGCTCGCAGCACAAAAATTAGCTGAAAGACTGAATATTAAAATACAGAGCTATAACCCAGAAGGGGAGACTTCGAGGAAATACCGAGAAGTGAGGGATGAAGATGATGATCAGTCCTCTGATGATGAATTCTGAAGATGGGCATTGGGATAATCCCCTAAATCTCTGCCTGTTGAGATGTCATCGTCATACATCAGACTTCTAAGTATCGAGATCAGTGTCAGACATTGTTGAGGGAAATAGTTTTATAAAGTTACACAAAGGTAGCTATAAAAATAGCCCAGCTTGACCTTCAGAAGATAACTTTCATGTGTTTGAAAAGTTTAATATTTGAATATTGTGTTTAACCACACTGTATTAAAGTTTTGCACTATGTTGTGTGTTGGTCTGATACTTTAGTATATAGAAGAGCGCATTTTTTTTCTCTAAGCCAAATGGAAGCAGATAACTGCTTTTTTTACTTAATATTACCTTTATCAAATAGCATTTATTATGTCTTTTAGTGAAATACTTAGTTGTCCCAGGAACATCTAAAATGAATTAGGACAATATAGTTCCCTCCTATTTTGAGCAGTCTAGAGAATTTTGTGCATGTCTGCATGGGGTTATGGAGGTATTGGATGTGAAATACCTAGGAAGACACCCGTAGAAAATACTTAACAAATGTTTGTCTCCTTCTTATGTCTTCCCTTAAGAAGAAATGTTATCTTTCTTCTGATTAGGAATAAGAAGTACTTTTAGTAATGCTGGAGGGTGGACGGTCTTTCTAGATGACCAGATCTGCCTGGAGTATGTGAGGGTTAGGAAAAGCCTAAGATGACTGATGCAGGTGAAGGGAGTAGCTGGTCCTGTGCGTGACCTGACTTGAGTTCATTGTTGTTAACAGATGATAGGTTCATTTACAGTACATTCAAGTTTGGTGAGAAAACCAATTTCTTTTAAAAGCTACAATGGAAATGTTGTTCATACATTGCTTTTTTTCCCCCAGAAGAGACATACGTAGGCTGGAGAAGCCTCAAGCTAACATGTTTATGTAATTTTAAAGGATTATATGGTTGTCTCCAGAGAAATTAACACTTATGTTATCAGTTCTTTGTCTAATATGTTGGATCCTTTAGACAGTGTTGAAAGGAAGAATAAAATATTAATTAGAGCAACTTCAAAATGTTAATGGTGATGTTTAGCTGGTGCTTAATTAAATTTAATTTCTTACTGTAAAAGACTGTTCGTGTATGAAACTTGACTGGAAATTCATTTAGGACAGATGTATGTGTGAGAGGAGGGACTCGGTTCTGTATCATGCACTTCCAGTTGTGGCCACTGCTTTCCGTCCCCCTTTTGCCCCCTCAAAAAGCAAATGTAAAAAGTAAACTGAGCTAACAAGTTCATTGTTTTTAAAACTAATAGCAAATGATTTCACAATGTAGATTATTTGATGTTATTTGTTTACAGAATAAAATAATACATGTTATTTCTGGAAAGTGGGATAATATGGAAGGGCTCATGTGTGTTTGTATACAGTCTCTTGTAAACCTCCCAGAGGGAGCCCTGATAACATTTGGGTGTGTGTTCTCTTACTTTTCTATGCATAATGCATTTATATTTTCAATAATGCGGTCATGCTATACATTGGTTCATAGTCTGCTCTATATATTGTAAACATTTTCCCATATTAAATAGTTTGCATTTTAGATTTTAGATAGCTGCGGGATGTTCCATTTTATGGATGTACCATAACTTTTAAAATCAACTTCTTATTGTTTGACAATTTGGTTATTAATTATAATGTAACCTGTAGACAGTGACACAATCAACATCTTAAAAGATAATCACATTGTATAAAAATGACTTATTTCCAGAAAATACCTTTCTAGAAGTGAAATTGCTAGGTGAGAGTGTATGTAAGTTTTGGAGATCTTGATATATGTCACTCACTACAAAGATTGTGTTCCTTTACCTTCCTGTTAGCAATATATCAAACTCCCAGAACTGAAAATTACTGTTTAAAATCTTTGCAAAGTGAATAATTGCAGAAAAGGATTACCTTTAAAATTTGTGTTTCTTTGATTACTTAGTGAAGGTTGAATTTTTTCATGTTTATTGGCCATTGATATTCATTCTTTTGAGCATTGCTTATTCATATCTTTCCTATATTAGAGAGTTTGCTGTTTTTATCGGTTTATAAGTTCCTTGTGAATTAAGATGTCCATCTTTTGTCATATGTCATTATTGTTTTAGCATGTTATTTGCCTTTTAATACAGTTCATGGTGTTTCTGTTTTGAGGTTGTTTTCTTTGGGTCTACCTTTGCGCTTGAGCATACTTCCCTACCCCAGGGAGTGATATGTATTTATCCTTATTTTCTGCTAATACCTTTTAAAATTTTTCACTTTTACACTTATCCTTAATTCAAAAGGAAATTTTTAATCCGTATCAAATTTATTTGGGGATGTTTTATGAGGTGAGGTTTAATATTAATTTTTGCAAATAGTTGACCAATTGGTTCAGTATTATAAACCACCATTTCCCCACTGATTTGTAATGGTATCATTATGGAATATTAAATTCCTATGTGTCTTTTGTGTCTCGGGCCTATTTCTGGGACTTCTAGTTTTTTCCACACTTTTAATAATTATGGCTTTAATCAGTGTTAATATTTGGTAGTACAAGTCCTTGTTCTTTTAAATTTTGTGAAATATAGAAAAGTACATAAAACAGATGTGCAGTTTAATGGATAAAGCAAACAGCTATGTATTCACAAACCAGATGCAGAAAAGCTACTGCCAGCACTCCAGAATCTCCTTGTGTGTCCCCTCTTAATACCCGCTTTGTCCTCCAGGGGTAACTACTCTCCTGACCTTATGATAATACTTCCCCCTTTCAAAAAAATGGTTTTACCAGTTATGTATGCAATCATATGGTTGGTTTGTTTTGCCCACTCTTGACGTATAAAAATGGAATCATACTGTATGTTGTGTGGTGTCTTTCACTCAACATTGCTTATAAAATTCACGTCACGTGTAGGTGTGGCTTACTTGTTTTCATTGTGTATAAGGCGTCATTTCGTTAATACCACTTTTGTCTATTCTACTGTGATGGGCACTTAGATGAAATTTTCAGGTTTTGGCTGTCATAAGCAATGCTGCAATGAGCATCTTTGTGGACATAAACACACTTCTGTATGGTATTTACCTAGGAATTTTAGCTGCTGGATTATGAGGTATGCACATCTTTAACATCTGATATTCCCACCACCTGCCATCCACTGTATATGAGAGTGCCAGTTCACCAACACTTGACATTGCAGACTTTCATTTTAGCCAGTGTGATGTTTTTATAGTAGACATTGATTGTGGTTTTATTTTGTGTTTCCCTAATTAGGAATGGCGTCGAGCATCTTCATATGTTTGTTGGTCGCTGGATTTCTTCTTTTGGAAAGTGTTCATTCAAGTCTTTTGTCCATCTTCCTGTTGTGTTCATGTCAGTTGTCGTTTTCTCATTGATTTGTAGGATGTATTCTTGATACTAATCATTATTTCGTTATATTTGTTGTAAATATCCTCTCCCTCTCTGGATTACTTTTCGTTCTCTTCATGGTGTTTCTGATGAACAGAAATTCTTAATTTTACTGGCAAACCAATCAATCTTTTATGTTTAGTGTCTTTTATGTCTGGTTTCAAGGAATCTCCCTATCCTGAAGTCATGAAAATATTCTCTTTAGTTTTTAAAATCTTTTAGTTAAAAAATGCTTTGTAATTTTGCCTTTCTCATTATGTCTTTGATTCCACCTGGAAATTACATATGACAGTGTGAGGAAGGATCCTCCTGTATAGCCACTTGTCCTAGCACTATGCGGTGTACTTCTGCCATATATCAAGCATCTATGTGTGTCTATGTTACCTTCTGGGTTCTCTCTTTGGTTCCATCAATCTATTTGTGCTAATGTGACACCACGTTATTTATGGTAGCTTTATGATGAGGCTGGAGTAAAGCCTGCCATCCTATTCAAGAGTGGCTTGAGGGGCCAGGCCAGTGGCGTAATGATTAAGTTTGTGCGCTCCACTTTGGCATCCCGTGGTTCCCCGGTTTGGATCCCGGGTGCAGACCTATCTACCACTCATGAAGCCATGCTGTTGTGGCATCCCACATACAAAATAGAGGAAGATTGGCACAGATGTTAGCTCAGTGACAGTCTTCCTCAAGCAAAAACGAGGAGAATTGCCAACAGATGTTAGCTCAGGGCCAATCTTCCTCACCAAAAAAATCAAAAACAAAAACAAAAACAGTGGCTTGGCTATTTTCAGCTCTTTGCATTTTCATGTAAATTTTAGAATCAGCTTGCCATGTTCCACAAAAAAATACCCTCGGTAGTGCAAATCTCCATTCATTTTCAAAGAAATGTTTGATATTCTGTCATTAACTTTTTATTCATAACAATCTATATTTTGAAACTTCAGAGATTTGGAACCTTGCCATTTATAAACTAAAGTACACTTACTCTTTCAACTAGGATGACTATTTTTAGTCTATGCAAGTTAAATAGAAAATTCAGAACACTGTGTTAATGTGAATACCTAAAGTATTGTGTAGTTTTGATTGAGAAGAGTTAGCAAGTAAGGAGGAATTTTTTTTTTAATGTCAAATTTAGGTTTAAAACAGGAAAATGGAGTGAATTTGCAGTCATGAACTCTTACCTTCAATTTTCAAGTGATTATGTTAAGAGAAGGAATTCAGGTGCTAAAGTTTGGGGCTTACCCTGAACCGTGGAAGATGTTATGAGGATTAATGTCATTATGTAATAGTCCTCTGTAGGATAATTTTTCATTTTCATAGGACCTGTCTCGAATCCACATCACATTCTCTGGGGAACCAGGAGCTGTGAGTCAAGATAGAAGGTGGATAGTTTGTGGGATTGAGAAGGTGGATAGTTTGTGGGGTTGTCTCTATTTCCTGTAACTGGGATGTTGAGTTGATTTGCTCAAGGTTACTCAGAGGCAGCCAAGAAAAGAACCCAGCACCCAAGATTTCTGGGCACTGGATTGCATGGCCTTGCACATGAATACCACAAATCAAGATGACATTTGGGCTTTAAAAAGTGCTAGTGCTAGGCAAGAGCTCAGATTACTCTGAGGGTATTTATCATGTCTCTATGACTTATACTATAAAAGAGCTTTATTTCTTCTGATAATTTTTGTATTTGGAATGTTTCATTTTTAATCATCTTAGAACTATGTGACCATGTCGGCCACTGCTGATATCTTCACTTTTCCCTCCTCACCTGACAGTTGGCTGCATAAAACTTTTTAGGAGAAGAGATGCCAGGAAAAGTGGCATCAGGTATCATAGGTTTCATTCAGAGGACCAGGTAAAATCTGGCAGTTTACCCTTTGCAGGCTTCATGACAGTTTGTAACACTGAAAGAA